TTTATATATCTTCATTTTGTTCAATCCTTCTCCTCCTTTTATCACTTTTCTCCCATCAGGCCGCGCACACACGCCCCCTCTCCCACCTTCTCCGCGTTGCTGCTGCCTCTTCTTGCGACGCCTGCCGCGTGGGTGTTTCATTCCCTCCTTCGTTTTCTTTCGTTCCTCCTTCCTTTTCTTTCTCCCCACTATCCCCCCATCCGGTTGAACTCTCCGCATTCGTGCCCCGCCGCCTACTTCTCTGGTTGAATCAGCAAGAGCGGATCAAGTAGCGTGCGACGCGTCCTCTCCAAGCCAAACTCGCAGACGGCAAAGACAATAATGGCCACCAGCGCCGCGGCAAAAATGCCGAGCTCAACGACGAGGCTCCTCGCCACGAAGAGGCGCATGACCTGATCGTACGGCCCCACAAGCACGACACCCGGAAGCTTAAAACGGTTCGTTGAGAGCGACACGCTCGTCGATACGACACGGCGAGAGGCTAACGTGGCGGCAGTCCGCTTCATGTGGGTCTCAAGCGCCTCCGCGTACCTTAAGGGACCCGCACTGTCGCGGGAAATGGGGCTGCGCTGGGAGTCGGAAGCGTGGCGCAGCAGACCCAGCATGTACGCGGCACTCCCCACCCACGGCCCCACCGCCGTGGCGGGCGCACGAGCCAACATTGCCCCCGCAAAGGCATGCAAAAAATTCACCCGGCGGCTGAAGTCCATGACAAACTTGGGTGGCTTCGTAGCCACAGCACCGGCCGTGTTGTTGACGTTAGACACGGGAATGGGTGGGTGGCCGCCACGGAAAAGTTGATCAACGCGGTACTTACGAACCGAGGAAAACGTCACGGCAGGTATCTGCCGGTTTGCCAGTACCTCGTGCTCAAAACGCACATCGTAGTGGCGGTAGTTCGTCTTTGCGGGGACAACAGTCAAAATGACGTCGTGACGCGCAGCCGTGGACTCCGCCGTCTTCTTCACCGCGGCGAACTGCGGGCTCTTAGCGAAGGACTCGTGTACGTGCATGAACAGCGTTGTGGCGACGTCATTGCCTGCATCGTTAGCCTCAGCGTCATCCTCATCAGCGCCGATAGGTAGTAGTTCGTCGAGGCATATCACCAGTTGATAGCGATCGAGTTCATCCTCCTCACGCGACGCGATCCATTGCGTCGTGCCAACGTAGTTAAAACGGGCGGCGTTACCCAACAGCACGGAAAGACCAAACGGCGAGGAAGACGCTGCACCACCATTTCTTCTGCTCTCCGCCGCCAAGGACGCCTCCACATTAAATCGTCGCCAGAGTTCGAGCGCCGCAGCGACGCCAGAGGCGCCACCGGTTGTGTGGGCAGATGGTGCGACTCCGAGTGTGTCGAACGACGCCGTGAGAAGCAGACGCGGCAGATCCGTCGATGCCTTCGTCCCCTTCGGCTTAAAAACGAGGGAGGCGTAGAGGTTAATGCCCACTACAGACATGTTGGCCACCGCGGCAACCGCCTTCTCGTTCTCGCCGATGGAGATGACGGCGTACTCGTGGGGTTTCAGGGCCGTGAGCGTCGCGGTCAGCCGTCGCGCGTCTTCACCGTCTTGCTGGAGAAAATACACCGGAAATCGCACGGCGTCCTGCGCAAGGCGCAGCTGAAACAACCTCTCATTGTGCGTGTCGAAGGGTGACAAGGCCGCCACGACGCCACGCACAGGCAGATCAACCAGTGCATCCCATTGCCCTTGCGTCAGGTGCCGCTCAGCGGGAATAAACACCGTCTGCATCCGGTGAACAGCGATGTTGGCGGGGTTAAACAGCGCGATGCTGCCTCGCAGCAGGGACGCCTGGGAACCAAACGACATTACCGCATTCGCAGGGTTCAACAGCTGACGATCGAAGCGAATTGCGTGGTGAACCGTCGCTACGAATGCCGGGTCCGCCGCCGTCACCGGCCGCAGGAATGCCTTAGCAAAAACTGGGGGCGATAACAGCAACAGCGCTAACACACACAACAACAGCAACGTGACCGGCTGCTGCAACCCAAACAGCGGAGAGGTCCGCGAGCTCCGCATTGCCTATTAATTCCTACAGGATATACACCTCCAGCAAAAGCGAAGAGACACGCGTAGGTTTATGCTTGTCGGGGCTAGACGCAAATAATAATATGTACACGTGTGAGTGTAGGTGTGGCAGCGACACCGAACAAAGGAACCAGACCTCTGCCCCTCTAGTCGCGCAAAACCCCCCACCCACACGCCTGCTACAACGTGATATTCCCTTGTGCGTGTGAAGGTATCCAAAGCGGAGAAAAGCAATGAGATGAATGCCTCACGAAGACGGGGCAAAAAACAAAAAAAAACAAAAACAAAAAACAAGAGGAAGAA